CCCCCTCAGCAGACGCTGAATCTGCTAGAGCCTTGATCTAAATTCCAGCCCACAGAACTGTGAGAAATCAATTTCTGTTGTTTATAAAGCATCTAGCCTGTGGTGTTTTATTATAACAGCAGGAACAGAGCTAAGACACCAGTCATTGGATTTAGGGCTCACCGTAAATCCATGATGATCTCATTCTGGAGGTCCTTCATCACATCTGCAGAGACCCTTGTCCCAAATAAGTTCACGTTCAGAAGCACCAGGGCTTAGGACTCGGACATATCTTTGGGGGGCCACCGTTTGACCCACTGCCCTTGGTGGCATCCCTGTGACCTGTAACACTGTGGTGTTGGGCTGCTCACCTTTCAGGCAGGGGCACAGTCAGCGTCTAGGAGAGGTGGTCTGCCTACGCCCTTACACATGTGAGTCGGGGTGAGGAGGGGCCGAGCCTTGTCTGAGGAACGCACGTGTGGAGGTCTGGGCTGAGCAGAGCCCTGCACAGTGCACCCGTGCCAGGACGGTGTGGGTGTCTGTTCCCCTGCCACGTGACTGGGCGCTTGCATCAGCTGAGCCCCGGGGCTGACGCCGTGACATGACCCTCACCTTCCTGTGCGTCCCTGCAGAGGTCTAGACGCAGCAGCCGCTCTGTTTCCTGAAACACACAGTGTGTCTGTTGCTATGTGGTATCATCTGCCCCTGGGTCCTGTTCACTCCCCCCTGGGAGTGAACCCTCGCCGGGTTCAGGGTGAAGTGTTACAAATGATGCCTGAGCTAGTTAGAGGTTTCATGGATATACCCACTCAACGCTTGAATTCCACGGCACCACCTGAAAGAACTCATGTCCGCTATCTTTTCTGCATTTTTCCTTTTTCAAATCCATTTTTGTGGCAGCCTCTGTGTCCTTTCTCACCAATCTTAGGTCTCTAGGGTGAAGTCAAATGGAAACATTCTTCTATCAGGATCCCTGATGCTCCACATTTCTTATTTCTTCCCCTGTAGGTCAATCCTGTGAGTGTGGCTTCTTCGTAGCAAGAGCTGTCTGTCTTCCTGCCCTGCCCTGAAACTGACTTAAGCACAACAAGGCTACAAGCTGTTGAGTGGATTTCATTTATGTACCTAATGAACCAGCTTCTCCACAGGACAGAACTCCTTTCACATTTTCAGTCTTTTACTTCTCAGAGTGACTGAATAAGAAAAAGTTGGTGTACAGTATTTAAAGGATACAGAAGTGTTTCAGGTTTGTGTGTGTGTGTGTGTGTTTTTCAAACCCAAACAGAATAGGCCTAATTTTTTAAAAGATTATTTCCCTGATTTAAAAACAAAAATTTTTTGTTCACTTAAAAAATGAATGAATGAATGAATGAATGATACAGAATTTCTGAAGGAGTCAGGCAATAATGTATCAGGATGTTCGAGTGATTCATTAGTGACTGTAACCTGAAGTTTGATGTAATGGTGGTGACCATGGCTAACATCTGTTGGGGCCTTACCTTCCTGTGTGTGCTTTTACGTGCAGGCCCCTTTACAGGCATTGCTTCACAACTCCACCACCGGGAACATTAATCATTGCTGTGTGACAGTGGACAAAACTGAGCCACACACAGTGGTTGAGAGTCCACCTGCCGATGCAGGGGACACGGGTTCGTGCCCCGGTCCGGGAAGATCCCGCATGCCGCGGAGCGGCTGGGCCCGTGAGCCATGGCCGCTGAGCCTGCGCGTCCGGAGCCTGTGCTCCGCAACAGGAAAGGCCACAACACTGAGAGGCCCGCGTACTGAAAAAAAAAAAAAAAATGTTGAGTACTCACTCCAATATAGGCTTATTGGTGTGTACTTATTTATGTATAGTACTGTGCTGTTACATTAGGTACATTATGAAATGTTCACAGAACTAGAAATGTTAGAAGGATAAGCTAAAATGAGATAAACTATATTTAAATTTTTAAAATCAGTAGCACCAGAGAACTTTTCCAGCAAAGTTTTCTTTTTCCAGTAGGTTTTAGAGAAAGCATCTGTTTAAATATGCTCCATTATTTTTTAATATGTTGGTTTACTATTGTGTGGTACAATTTGAATATTTTGTTTTAAATTCAAATCACGTTGATACTCAACTTTAATCACCGTATCCAGACAGAGGTGATTATTGGATGTCTGTTTGTTTATAGGCATCCTTTCATCCATCTTAATTCATCCGTTAAGTAAAGGGTTTTTTTACTGAAATTTAACCGGTAAGTGTAATTCTCCATGCTGTTAATCAGTGCTTGTTGCAAACAATCTTGAATGCTGTGGTTTTTTCATGTTTTCACATGATAGATTCACACGCCATAGAAACCGTTCATGTAGAATACTTTCACACTGGTTGGAAATTCCTTTCAGTGTGAAATTAAGCATATGTGTTCAGAAGTCATACAGGTCTGTAGTTTTCTTGTGTGACTTTTGTCCAGCTTTGGTATCAGGAAAGTGCTGGCCTCATAAAATGAGTTGGGAAGCGAGCGTTCCCTCCAATTTCTTGCGGTTTCTTTATTTCTTCTTTCTTTCTGAGATGCTTGCTAAATTCACCAGTGAGGCCATCCAGTCCTAGATTTGGGAAGGTTCTTGACTACAGATTCAATTTCTTTAATAGACCTAGGGCTAGTTAGGTTATTAGCGTCTTCTTGAGTGAGCTTTCTAGCTTTCAAAGAATGTGTCCATTTTATCTAAGTTAGCAAATTTATTGACATGAAGTTGCTTGTCATATTTTGTGTATCCTTTTTAATGATTTTAAGGACCTGTAGTGCTGTCCCTCTTTCACTGTGATAAACTTGGATTTTTTTTTTTTTTTCCCTTGATCAGTCTAGCTAAGAGCCCACCAATTAAATTGATCTTTTTAAAGGACTAGGTTTTGGTTTAATCAGTTTTCTACGTTCTCTTTTCTGTTTTGAGTTTATTATTTTTTTCTTTTCTCTTTACTTTCTTAAGATAAAATCTTAGATTGTAGATCTTCTTTTCTTTCTTCCAGTTTTTGATTTTTCAAATACCATTCCTATTTTAATTCTCCTATGGTCAGGGAAATTACTTTGTATGATTTCAGTTGCTTAAAAATTTTTGAGACTTGTTCTTTGGCTCATAGTGTATTCTATCTTGTTGAATGTTTTATATGCACTTGAAAATAATATGTATTCTGCTGTTGTTGGGTAAAGTGTTATATAAATGTCCATTTGGTTAAGTTGCTTGATAGTGTTTTGAAGTCAGCAGTACCATACTTATCTTCTGTCTACTTGTTTTGTCAATTACTGAGAGAGGAATTTGAAACATCTTTCTCCTTTCTGTGCTTTGAGTTTTTGCTTTACCTATTTTGAAGGTCTGTTATTTGGTGCATACACATTTAGAATTGCTATATCTTCTTGATGAATTGACCTATTTGTCATTACAAAACATCCCTAGTTATCCCTGTTAACCGTCATTCGTTGTTCTAAAGCCCACTTGTCTTTTGTTAGTACAGCTACACTGACTCTTGATGGGTAGTGACATAATACATAGTTTTCAATCCTTTTTTTTGTTAAGATTTTTTTAATGTGGACCATTTTTGAAGTCTTTATTGAATTTGTTACAATATTGCTTCTGTTTTATGTTTTGGTTTTTTGGCCACGAGGCATGTGGGATCTTAGCTCCCCAACCAGGGATCCAACCCGAACCCCCTGCACTGTAGGGTGAAGTCTTAACCACTGGACCGCCAGGGAGGTCCTTCAATCCTTTTAGTTTTAACCTATCTGAGTATTTATCTTTAAGTTTCTTGCAGACAGCGTGTATTTGGGTCTCACTTTTATTTTTGTTTGTTTTTCCATTCTGACAGCCCCTGACTTGGGCGTAATTATATTTACCAAGCTGTTATGTGAGGTCAGTATCTGCCGATATCCGTCATCTCTTCCATATTTGTGTTCATTTCTATTGATTGCCTTTTTCTCCTGGTTATGGGTTGTATTTCCTCCTTTGCAAGCATGGTAATTTTGATTGGATGTCGGACACTGACTTTTACATCCATCCAAGTGATAGATTTTGCTGATTTAGTTGTCTTGGCGTGGAGTTGAGGTCCACATTTTCCTCTGAGCACCTCATAGGACTGTTTCTCTGAAGGATCACAGTATCTGTTGCCTTTCTGAATGGGTTCAGGTATCGAAAAACGTGTCAGTCTTTTCTGTAGCAATTGAGAAACTAGGGATATCGCCTTACGTACTTACTGAAACAGCCGTGATTATCTGATTATTTAAGATACTATTTTAGATAAACCTTTGTGTGGATTTAGACATTACTGTTGTTGTAATCGGGTGTGTTGAAGGTGGAAAGTACTGCCATTTTTGTCACATTTCTTATAACTGGCGGTCTCTTAATTGGCTCCAAGGATAATACATTAACCTACGTGTTTCCTGGACTTAACCACCACCGTTGATAGGAACGTGGAAGCGTGTCTTTCACGTGGTGTGTTGTTGTTATTGTTCACTGCGTTAAGGAGAGCCTTTTCACTGTCTGACCCCTTGGTAGGTGGTCCTGCAGCTTTGCTTCAGCAGCGACCTTCCCCTTCAGCCTCTGATGGGGGCCGGTTCAGGGTCCAGCAGTGTGAGGAATGCTGAATTGCTTTCTGTACAATACAGAGTTTCCTCAGAAAACACCAAAAGCATAGTCCTTGTGTATTCATTGCTTTAAAACAAAACAAAACGAAGCCCTGTGTACTCAGTGCAGAGGCCTTTCCCTGGGTTGGCTGTGATAGGATTGACGAACACAGCAGCAGCATCCCGGTACCATCACCTCTGTTACTTTGGGAGGTGCTAGCGCTGAGCCCTGAATCGCTCTCTGACGTTTGTGTTGCGTGGGGATGCCCCAGTGCTGACGACCCCTGTCAGGACAGTGTGATCTCACACGATGTCTGGGCAGAGGCAGCAGAGCCAGGGCGGCAGAGCTGGTGCAGTGTCCCTGGAGGCCTGCGGCCGGTACCTCTGCTCCCCATCATCACTGACGCCCCCCCCCCGCCCCGCCCCCAGGTGTGGAGAAGCTGATCCACCACCTGCGGAAGCACGGCGTGCCCTGTGCCGTGGCCACCAGCTCAGGGACCGCATCCTTCCAGATGAAGACCAGCAGACACGAGGGCTTCTTCAGCTTGTTCCATCACGTCGTCCTCGGCGATGACCCCGAAGTGAGGAGTGGGAAGCCGGAGCCAGACATCTTCCTGGCGTGCGCCCGCAGGTTTTCTCCCGCCGCTCCCGTGGAGCAGGTAAGCGGCAGCGGGCGTGCAGGTTACGCCGTGCGCAGGCGCAGGGTCTCTGTGTCCACGTGGACAGCTGCTGCGCGGCACTCCCGAGGACTCAAGGAGAGGGCAGTGGGGTCACCGGGTGGAAGGTGCGTGGGGAGATCCCTTCGTTTTGTGGCGGAGTGCAGCCACCCCCAAGTCACCTGGCCAGTGAGTCCCGGCCAGAATTGTCTGGGGTGCCCGAATGTAAGAAAGCCTAGGCTTCGCAGAGCAGTGCCTGACGGGCACTTTGCAGGGAAGGGGGGCCTTCAGTGATGCATGGCGACGGTGTCCTTATTTGTAACGAGCAGCCTTGGACACACACGTTCCCTGCAGTTCAGCAATTCAGACGTAAGTCAGCAACGCTCACCACCCCTCCCCCCAAATGCTTCTCGGTTTCTCCCCTGCCAGGGGGCCGCAGGCGGAGCTCTGTCCTGCCTCTGTGGGCTGCTTCCTTATGCCGGTCCGTGCTGGAGCTGGGGAGGTGGTGTCTGAGCCCAGGAAGAGTGCTGAGAGTGCGCGACGGGGCTTGTTTGCTTCTGCTGAGTCTCCGCGCGGCTCATGGGGGCTGGTGAGACGGAGGAGGGGGAAGAAGCCTCAGCCACCTGCAGAGGCAGATTCCAGAACACCTGGGGCTTCTCGAGAGCGGTTGCTGCTGGTGACCCACGTGTGTCCACAGCAGGTGGGGCGTCCCTCGGGGTGACGGTGCTCCTGCCTGGTCCCTGCATCCGAGGGTGCGGTGCTTCATGGGGCACGGGTGCAGGGAAGAGCCTTTCCGTGAGAGAGCTTCTCACCGTCTGCCTGTCACTAACGCGGCCTTTGCCACACTAACCACGAGCGCAGGGAAGGTTACTCAAAAGCCTGCCTCCCGATGCAGCTGACAGTGGCAAACATTGTTGAGTGATGTGTTTTTTGGGCCCGGGGCCTAACTGACTACACTGAACCTGTAAGGGCCGTCGAACTGTGTAACCCCTCGGGCTTCCTCTGATTCTCAGACGCCTGCTGGGCGTCCCACGATTCAGCGCACTTCTGACGCTAAGGACCTGGAGTCAGCGCCGACCCCCGGGTTGGGGGCTCAGCCCCCGAGACTGCCCCTGCTGTGGATGCCAGCCTCCGACGAGGCACCCAGGCCCCTCGTGCTTCTCCCATCCGGCCACAGATGTGGGTTCCCACACAGCCCCCTTCCCGGTTGTTATAATTCACTAGAATGACTCACCGAACTTCGGAAGACGAGACTTGCGTTCACTGGTCTAGTTTAGGAGTACAGCTCAGGAGCAGCCCGGTGGAAGAGCTGCTTAGCCTAAGGTCTGGGTGCCAGGGTGCTGGCGCTTCCATGCCCTCTCTGGGCACGCCACCCTCCCAGCACCCCCTTGTGTTCAGAAGCTCCAAGAACCTTAGGGCTTTCTGCGGAGGCTCCATTACCTGGCACTGCTGGTTAAACCATGGGCCTTTGTTGATTGCATCGCCGGGCCTGCAGGTTGGGGTGGGGTGCAAGCTGCAGCACTCTAATCCTGCCTGGTCTTTCTGTCCACCGGCCCCCATCCCGAAGGCATCTGGGGCCCAGGACTGTCACTCATTAGCATAAACTGACATGTGCTTGAAAGGAGATTATTACAAATAATGAAAAATGTTCTGATTGCCCAGGAAATGCCAAGGGTTTTAGGAGCTCTGTACTGGAAACCAGGGGCAAAGGCCAAATATATATATTTTTTATTACGCGACAGCCAGAAGAATCATTGCATGTCATTGAGCAATGGCGGCAGTGCGTTCCTCGCAATACAAGTACGCGGACGGATTCAACTCAGCAGTTGCATGATCAGGGTGGAGCCTGCGATGGCCCAGCCACTAAGCCACAGAGTCAAAGATGAGGCCTCAGGGCTGGTGGGACGGGTCCTGCCTGCAGTGTGGTTCTGCTTCTTACATCAGAACATCTTTGTGTCCACGTGTTTGCCATCCTACGACAGATTCCATACAAATGCGTTCTCCTTCCCTAAGAACTTCTTAAAGAATTTCCCATCCCTTCAGGTGATAAAACCCTCCTCCTAGAAGGGCCATCTTCTTTGTGAGGTGCCACCCTGAGCAGACTGGTTCCAGAGCAGCTCAGAGTAGGAGCGCCTGCTTGTAGCCGTCTTCGCAGCTGAGAAGATGAGATGCTGACCCGTCGTGTCCTCCTTCGTTTGGCTGTTCAGGGAGGAGGGTGCTGCCTTTCTTTCTACTCCAGGCAGTCCTTCCTTTGCCGGGCACCCTATTCATGGAAACATGGTTGCCAGGTTTTCAAGTGTGTGTGCGAACCAAGTTTATGGGGAGACCACACGCTGGCTTTGCATGAGGCCAGTTGCGATGCAGCTGCGGGAGAGGAGGGCACGGCTGTGCGGCTCCAGTCTTTACGGGTGGGAGTTCCCCTTGGTGAGACGCCGAGGCGCCGAGGCGCCGAGGCAGAGTTTGGACATCCCTGTTGCCCATGGTGACAGTGTTCTAGGCACATCAAAGGAAAATAAGCACGTGCGTATCTGAGGAGTAGTCTCGCTCCTAGAAGTGCTCTCCACCAGTTACCCTTGTTAGTCACCCACACTTATTGATGCAGCTATTTGTCTTGCAGAAATGAAACCTGTCTTGTCCTGTTTCCTAGGCAGATACAGTTAAGGTGTTTGGGTTTTCCTCAGATGTGCCTATTGTAGGAGGAAAGGACAGCGTTGATTGGCTCCTGGTTGTGGAGGCCCACCGCCCGTTTTGTACTTGAATTTGTCTTCCAAATTCAGGAAGCAGTTGCAGAGAGGCTCATGGAAGCATGAGACTGCTCTTAGGTCGTGTCCTGCTGCTTCCTCTTTGACGCAGTGCAGGCGCCAGCACATAGGGGTGACGAGCCTCGGAGTTGAAGGGCATTTCATGCAGTTATCAAGTCCCTAGAGAGAGTCACGGTTGCCGTCGGGAATTATGATTCTGTGCGTGTCACCAAATTAATCTGGTACAGTAGTACTAATAGGACTGTAGTAAAGCACAAGTAGCATAAAAGGGGGAATTTATGTTGTCACGTTAGTCACCGTTTTACTAGGAGAAAATGCCTAACAGAGCTGGCATTCAGCAAGTGTTCATTGCAAATGTCCTAAGTTATTTATGTATCATTCTTTTGTGCTTAAGATATGCAAAAATACGGTGCCATCTTCAAAAGTCACTTTAACCCATCTTCACGCTCAGGCGTACTCACTGAATACTTGTTGTATGCCAAGGGGGCACCTGGCATGCGGGAGCCCCCACTGAATCCCAGGGGCCCCGCAGGGCAGAGGTTATCATTGCCCCAGCTTTCACAGCACCTGGGCTTCTGGAGGCTTGCAGACAGGAGCGACGGTGCTCAGAGTCCGGGGCAGGTTGAGGGAACAAGCCGGGAGTCACCCCAGCCCCCCTGGGTGTGTGTGCTCTGCCACTTCAGTGCCTCGTGGCAAAAATGCACGTCTTTGTTGCAAAATAAAAATGCCATCATTTACACAGGATTGCTTGTGTTGATATTTACTACTACTTTACAAGTAAAACCTGAAATCAGTTTTTAAAAGCATGGCAATCACTACTTTGGATACATATTTTTCTTGTTAATGTTCACAGCTGAATTTCAGGATTTTTTTAATGAACAATTATTTCTTTTTTTAAAGAATCATGGTTATTTTATTTACTTATTTATTTATTTTGGCTGCCCCGGGTCTTAGTTGCAGCACGTGGGATCTTTAAGGTGTGGCGTGCGGACTCTTAGTTGCAGCACACAGACTTCTTAGTTGCAGCTTGTGAACTCTTAGTTGTGGCACGCATGCAGGATCTAGTTCCCTCGACCAGGGATTGAACCCGGAACCCCCTGCATTGGGAACGCGGAGTCGTACTCACTGGACCACCAGGGCAGTCCCCAGAGTTTTCTTTTGAATTACTTTTTTGTTTTATTTTGAAGAAAGTCTCGCACATTAAGCCTTTATATACCTAGAGAGTTAAAAAATGGCAAATGTATTTTAACTTGAGTTCTGATTAACTGTACAATGTCTTCATCATATAACACTCAGACCATTTCTTCAATTACAGAAGTCATCACCTGAGTTGACTTTTCAATATGTGAAATGGCAATTAATATATTTTACATAATCTCTTGACAAAAAAAACACGTTAATTTAAAGATCATTCTCTGTATCTCTTTTTATTGTGTATTGTCTATATGGCCAAAGTCTGCAGACAGGTGTAGGCTGTCAGGTGTTACTGCTGGAAGAGCTACTTCACCTCCCAGAATAATGGGAATCAAGTGGGTGCGTTGCTTCTGGCAGATTGAAAGTTAACAGGACTTCCCTGGTGGCGCAGTGGCTAAGAATCCGCCTGCCAGTGCAGGGGACGCAGGTTCGAGCCCTGGTCCGGGAAGATCCCACGTGCTGCGGAGCAGCTAAGCCCGTGCGCCACAACTACTGAGCCTGCGCTCTAGAGCTCGCGAGCCACAACTGCTGAGCCCCCGAGCCACAGCTTCTGAAGCCCGCGTGCCTAGAGCCCGTGCTCCGCAACAAGAGAAGCCACTGCACTGAAAAGGCCACACACCACAACGAAGAGTAGCCCCCGCTCGCCACAACTAGAGAAAGCCTGCACGCAGCAACGAAGACCCAAAGCAGCCAAATAAACAAATAAATAAATAAATACATAAAATTAAAAAAAAAAAGAAAAGAAAGTTAAAACTTGGCGGCCAGGTGAGATGAGCTGCGCTTCTGTCTTTGGGGGATTGCATACTCTTTAGTCAGTGTCTCACTTCTGAACACCCCGTTAGGGGCATAGTGGTGCTCGAGTTTCTCATGGCGGTGTGGAGAGTCACCGGGCCATAGTCAGCCACCTTCAGGGCCTCAGGGAGACTGCACATCCCTGGCCATTGCTGCCCAGGCCTCATGCCTGTCTTCTCCTGTCACCCAGAACCACTGAGGAAAATACGGAGGCCTCTGGTCACTGGTCTTGGTATTATTTCACGTCTCTTGCAA